ATGTAATTTCGCAACTAAAGCAGCTAGAGCGCTGAAAGTTCCTGAGTATGACCCAGGTCCGTGTTTGAACAAGCGCACGCGAAGAGAGCATTCAATTTGTCCCTCACATACGAACATGTGAAATTTAGCGTAACTGCGCAACCAGAGCAGTTGGAGTGCTGAAACTTTCTGAGCGTCGTTTAGGACCGTGTCTGGGCAAGCATATATGAAGAGAGGATTCATGTTGCCATTCACGTACGAACACGTGAAATCTGATGTAGCTCCGCAATCAGAACAACTGAGGTGCTGGAATTTTCTGAATATTGTCCAGGATCGTGTTTGAATATGTTAACTCTTAGAACGCATATGTTGGGCATGTGTCTTACCGTTTATATTCCGTTTTCTGAAGATCGCTTGGCAAAGTTTTCTTAATTTTCTCGCATTTGTTGAATGGAACGTTTTTACTTGCATTTTTTTGCTGTTGGCTGACAATTATCATGAACATAAAAATGTCACTTTAGGTGGAGAACACAGAAAAATGAGAATTGGCGTAATTCATGTAGTGCACACATACAAGCATGCGTGTGTTTTCATTTTCACGAATCATACGTCCACGCTGGATACGTCTACAGGATGGAAATAGTGAAGCACTGGGCCCGCCTAAGGGTCGTTGTTGAGGGCTGATCTTTGGGACGTCTTTTATCCCCGGTGGCACTGCTAATCCTTCTTTTTTCCTACTGAATGCATAATGCTTTGTACGCCTTTCTAGTCACTCAGATGCTGATTTAGCATTCGGTGTGTCGCGCAGTGAGCGCTTCGCTCAAAATCTAAAAAAGTGCTAAGCTGTGCACATCGATGTTATTGGCGGAGCTGTGAACAGTGTTCCGAGAGACAGAGTTTTTTTTAGTGACAACCCCTGTAGATTTTCAGTTTAACTGAAAGCCTGAAATAGGGCCCATGTTTTCTAATAACGTAGCCACGTTTACAGGTTACAAAACTGCACCGCATCCGTTGTCGTCCTTCCATTTTTCAACATATTGGTGTGCATTCATCGTTGGCTGGAAAGGTGCAGAAATTACGAGAAAGAGATTTTGGGAAAGCGCAGTTGTTCATCCCGCACCGCGATAATCCTCCCGCAAAAATTACCACGTCCTTGAAGACCTATATGCTTTATGGTAAGTTATTTTCTTTCAAGTTTTTACTTTTTTTT